CACGAATAAGTCAGCTAGACGGAGGAAGGAGCACGCCTTCACAGAATACCAGCATGAAATAGCATCGACAGAAATACTTAATCGAGGATAGATGTAGATGTTTATGAGCTCCAACATCCACTTACCGTCAGGTGGATCTTATAAAGATTAAGTATGACAAATGATGTCATACTTGTTCTTTAAAAAAACCTGTGAACCATAATTAAAAAAAAAACGTTACCCTCACACTAAGATTTTCTCAAGTATGAAAGAAGCAGTTTTCAAACATAAATTGCACAAAGGCAAACATTCTGACCCGGAACAATTATTTGTAGACCATATGCTAAGCCACTGCGCCACGGAGCCGTCAGTATTAAATATAGACGTCGAATATAGAACCTCCTATTTATTAATTGGTTAAAAATAATGTGCATTGTAAAGAAGCACAATATAACTGGCTCTAGTGGATACCTACTACTTTTTACGCTATTTTTTTTAGTCTGATGGCATAGTTCTACCCCGGATGTCAACAATTGAAGAAAAAACAAGTTAGATTTTTTTTGCAACATGATGACACAGCTCAATAAAACGTGTTTTTAAATACGCGATTCGAATTATTGCGTTATAATGTTGCCTTCATTTTTTTTTAGTAGTTCTAGCCATTTTTGTAAACATACATAATGGAGCAAATATCCAAATCAGGAATATGAAATTTGTACGAAAATATGAAATTAGTAAAAAAAATTAGAAAATTAGAAAATTGTAAAACAATAAATTCGCGATATGTACTTACAAAATTCGTAGTGACGTAGTAACGTAGATACAGCAGCAGTTTTAACGTCAGTACTACCTATTACTAGGACATACATTCATTCATCATCATCATCATCATTACAGCCCTTCACAAGTCCACTGCTGAAGGCCACCCCCAAATAATGCCACAAAGTACGATCCTGAGCCACCAGCATCCATCGATTTCCTGCACGCCTTACCAGGTCGTCACTCCATCTAGTGGGGGGTCGGTCTACACTTAACTACGGTACGAGGCTGCCACTCGAAAACATTTTTTCCTCATCGATCGGTTGTCGGTTCTTCAAGCTATATGGCCGGCCCATTGTCACTTCAACTTACTAATCCTTTGGGCTATGTCGGTCACTCTGGTTTTACTGCAGTTATCCCCATTTCTAAGTTAATCACGCAAAGCAACCCCGAGCATAGCCTTCTCCATAGCTCGATGAGTGACCTCGAGCTCCCTCATATATTCATTACAGGTAGATTGTCTTGGCAGACGGGCTGACAATCGCAGTTTTTCATTATTTTTGATTTGTTATCGGGAAGATGCTACTGTGCATCTTTCCGGTTTCATTTACCCCTGTCACATATTTTACGACACCTACGGGATGATATGGGGTAGTGGGATCTCAAACCCCAACTTTGTGGTGACTAAGCATACATACATAATTTATTCCTTTTTATCTTCATGAGGAAGATGAAGTGAAAGAAATAGTAAAACGTATAGTACGTGGTAGACCCATATTGCAGCTATATTACTGGTATAAATGTAGGACGAATAGGTCGGCTCGACCGTGGAGGGACCACGCTCTCAGAGAATACCAGCGTAAAATAGCAGCTTAACGCTGCTATTTTACGCTTTAATTGGTTGCTGTGGCCCATAGCCATCTTCGATTACGAATTAAAATGCAGATGCGTTGCCACCCGTGAGGATAAAGATGGAATGCCTCGTTTCCAGTAAAAAGGGGCTCCGGTTCTCTACACTCACCAAACGAAACATAGCAGTGTTAAGCTGGTATTTCACTCTGGTATTCTGTGAGAGCGTGGTCCTTCCCCGGTCGAGCCGACCCATTCATGCTACAGCTATACACTAATATAGCTGCAGCATGGCTCTACCACGTAAAAAAGTTGATTTCTTCAAGGTCACAAGTGTAAACGGTAAACTAATATATTACGTACCTACCTTTAATTCATCCGTAATTAATACAGAAAGTAATATGTAACAAAGATATATATGTATACCGAAAGTTATATAATGCATGGACTCAAACGTAATTTTTGTGATTAATTTGGCAAAGAAATCTCAAAATGTCCTTCATAACGCAAAATTCTAACTTTTAATACTTTGCAAAGAATTTTTATTATTAAGAACTCCGCGTCACTCTCCTTCAATTAAATTTTTATGTATTATGTACATATATATGCATATATTGAGACGAATTAAGTACTTGATGATTATTTACGAATACTCGGAAACCCTTAACTGAGTAGAATTTATTATTAATTGAATTGAATTTATTAAACTGACACAAGTGCTACCACCCAGAGGAACTCACTCGCACTAAACTATAGAAGTACTAAGCCCTAGTATTATTAGTATTAATAAGTACACACAAACACAGAGGCCGCTAGGGAGGGGACCTTCAAGAAACGAACAGTCTTCTTTTTAAAAAGCCGGTAATGCACCTGCAATTCTCCTGAAGTTCCAGTTCATGCGGCGGTTGACACGATAGGGGGACTCGTGCCGCTTATACTACTAGCGTTAACATTGAGTTGCACTGGTATGCAGTATCAGAGACACAGAGGCAATCTCAACATAAGCTCGCAGACTCGAAAATCATTAATTTAGGTTTCGCAAATATATTGGTATCATCAGATATTCGAACCTAGGATAAGCCATTCTACTACCAGGTCTGACTCCCAGGTCACGTTTTAGTCAGCGTTTATACTACATTAGACACAAAAGTTGTTTTAAATTTTTATGTGTATTAATTTGAATCAAATTAGCCTTACGTTGTAGCAAAGAGGCAGAAGCTTAAAAAGCTTTTAAAGCGTAACTACAAATACTCAACCATATTTTTTTAAATAGCTATATCATTTGTTATTTGAATATCCCACTAATTCCTTATTCTTACCCATCTCTCAGAAGAAGGGTATGGTTTCCGATTGTATGTACATGTATGTATATTTCTTTGACTCACTCCGAAATAGACGTGGAACGAGTAGTCATTCGCCGAGTACTCGGCCACCGGGTACTCGGCCTAGATTGGGGAGAGTACTCTGCCGAATACTCTGCTATAAAAAAAAACGCGGTAGCGGGCGGCGTGCGGTTATTTCCCTTACAAACTAGACCCAAATAGGGCCGAAAAACTAGTGTTTTTGCATCACAAATTTCCTCTCTTAAATTTTAAATATTAGTAATAATAATTTCTATTATAGATTCTTATGTACGTTCTAAATATTTCTGCTGCTTCTCATGTTCCTGGTGTTTTAATGTGTCTAATATAATAATAATGATAAAAACTGGATTTTTGTCTTTATTTTTCTCTCGAATATAATTAAGGCCGAGTACCCGGTACTCGGCCTTTAATACTCGGTGCTCGGCCGAACCCTAAAAAATAGGCCGAATCCGCCGAGTACCGAATCCAAACAGAGTACTCGTCCCATGTCTATTCTAAAGCCTGTACGTGTACGGCTTGATGAATTTTAACATACAACATCGATAGATACGTCTTAATCGTGGAAGTAACATAGAATACAAGTATTGATATTTTCTCTTTTTGGCAGATTTTTGACACAGTCCGGTTTTTAATTACATACTGATCACCAGAGCTCGTAACGCAAGTACTACAAACAATTATAAAACGACTTAATATAAAACTATTCTTATTGCGATTTTCAACTCATATTTTCGATGGTGCGAGTTCTTAGAAACACCCCAGGGTCACGGAGGGATCCTACTATTCAATAACTTCCCTACACAAAATATAAAGGAATTGCATGATTTATTTTACTTTGAAACGTCATAAGTATATAAATATTTTAAATATTTACAAAGAAAACTAAGACTTTATTTACAAAAAAAAAATCTTCGCATTACGTAGTCGCATCGATCACGAGTAACGGTGTCACAAATATTTATTAAAATTGTTGAGGAATAGGTATCATATATTGTAATAGGAATAGGTACAAACCTTGCAGATACGGAAATAATTTATGATTAATGTTATTTACTACTGTAAAATGTACGTACTATTAAAGAAATTGACGATTTTTCTTACAATCCACTGGCATGTTGCCAACTCCGAGTATGAAATATTAACATGAATGTAAAAATTTATTGTTTAACTGTAGGTACCGTAATTTATACTTTATACTTAATCTATATTATTATTGGAATTTTAGTTTTATAGTCAGCAAAATATTCACGATTCGTTTAAATTACGTCAGATAGGTATGTATTAAAAGCGATGAGTTTATATAGATATAAAAATCGACTAAAATAATTTTCTTTGCCTATTATATATTTAGCTATTACGTATAGATTGTACGAAAGTGCATTAAATTGCTAAAATTGTCATTTGTAACAAGTTCGTAATTTATAAAATAATTAACGTTAAAAAAATGATTAATGATTTCCTGCCAAATTTACAGCTTTTATTATAATAAGAAATTATATGCAATGTGCATTGCTATAAAATAAGTAACTTATTTTATTTATGTTAGTGTGTGCCTCTTTTTCATAATAATAACACACAAATGGAGAAAGGTACATCACATCATTTAATTATTCAAATTTAAATTCTCGTAACTAAGCCTTGTAGGCCTAAGAGAGGTGAGCGTTCTAGGTTTAACAATTCAAACCAGTTATTTTAGTAGTTCTCACCAATGAGCTTTGTGAGACGAAAATAACAATGCTCGACCACTGACTTTTCGTTTCGACTTGATATTATGGTTATCAGAGACCTTACATAACTCTGTTCTCATAAGCACGTGCACCATCAGCACCACAACATTTGACACCGTTATGTTTGTTTAACCAAAGAATCACAAACGGCAGGGAAAACACTCACGCAGTTAATTTACGCAGTTAGCTACACTAGAAACTTGTGATACTGATGACGAAGTATGAAAGTAGAAGGAAGTGGAACAGTTGTTTTCACTTAAGAAATTCACTTAATATAATACATTGGCGATATTGATAGTATAGCCAGCGTTCTAATACTCACCTTTTAGCCTAAAACAGCTGAATAATCTCCCTGTAGGACTAGTCACGGATCTCACAAGCGCGGACACGAACTTGCACTCAAATATCACAGATTTCTATGAAACAAACTGCGTAGCACCACTTTCTATATTTTCCGTTAGTAACACGAGACGTTTGACGCTACCTGGCACGTTTAGGGTTTTCGAAAAGTCCATTGAACTGTTTAGGTTGAAATTTACGTCCAGCGAAATTATTATAGATACGAAGTGGCAACGCTGTATAGACATCGTATACATTTTGCGGCGCTGCCGCTAGACGGCGTTGCAATCGGAGGGGGGCGGAGCCGGGCGGGACGAAGCGGGTGGGTGCGAGTGCGAGCGAGATGCCGGTATCGCGGATCGACGCCACGTTGCAATACGAGCGAATATTTTATAATGGTGAGCTTATGGGATTATATGTCGAAATGTAATTGTTTAGATGGTGAAGACATCAGCAGATAATGACGAATGCAGCAACTGTTGACCTTTTCGACGTACCCGTCGGCGCGGGTGGCGATAACACGAGGTCGTCGGTCGAGTGTGCGGCGTTGCCAGTCCGCTGCGGCATTCAGAACCCACGTTTCCACGGATTAGACGCCCATTACACGCCTAGGCAAGCGTCAATCAGTTCGATCAATCATGACTGAGGTTTGAATGATGGAATAATTTGGACATTACACGCTCATGCTGACTGATCGTCAGTCAAACCCAAATTTTCGGAGTGAAAGGACGTATATATACACTAAGTTCATTTTCGATTCACCATTTAATTATAATTTTATATCCTGAAAAGAAAAAGAAAAAAAAACGAATAGGAAAAATTGTAATATTTAATATCATTTTACCCATTTTAATTTAACGCGCGCAAATGTTAGACCTCTTGGAGTGCATAATCGACACGCGGCTTTATTTGAAACGCATTTATGGACGAAAAATAAGCTTAACTTTTACATTTATTCGTATAGGGTGGATACCCCTATTACCAGCCTTTTAGTGCCAATTTCAATTTCCTTTTGTGTATCTAATGCCTATGTAGTAGTATGTAGTATAGGGCTATGTCTTTTGAGTTTTTGGTAGGTACATATTGTAGGTAAATTTTAGGGGCACTGAAATAAATTCATAACAACTTTTAATTTTAAATCATGCATGTCACAAGTATGTAATATGTATTAAGATAGACGACAACAATTATTTTATTTTAATGTTTTACTTCTTACCTTACTGTGGTTTAGCTTTAAGCAGTTACATTTTATCTTTTAACACTAAACAATTAATTAAAATAATATTATAATAAAAATGATGTATTATAGTACACCGATTTCTTATAATTTAATCATCCAAGTTTTTGAATTTTTATCATCATTTAAGCCCTTCACAAGTCGACTACAGAACATCATCCTCCATAGACTGCCGCAAAGCATGGTCCTGAACCACTTTCCTTTTTATGACTTTTTCATTTATGTTCTTAAGTTATAATAAAATTAGTATTACTAAGTTGTAAGTAGTTAATAACATTTATTGTTTGTTTTTGTCTTTCCCAAAAAATAATTAAATATTGTATGGTGTTCTTAACATATACCAAATGTCTGAAAAGCAAGTACGTATCATTTGTTAAATAAATCAAACACCAATTTTAAAATATAGACGAATTGACCATAACTTAACTAACATAACTATAAAATAAGTTATGTTTTTTTTATATAGGATAGGGTGACAAACGAGCACACAGTCCACCTGATGGTAAGTGGCTACTGTGACCCATAGACATCTACGAGTACATCTATCCTCAATATAGACTCAAGATGCAGATGCGTTGTCACCCGTGAGGACTAAGATGGAATGCCTCTTTGCCAGTAAAAAGGGTCTCCGGTTAGCTACACACACCATACGAAACACAGCAGCGTTAAGCTGCTATTCTACGTTGGTTTTCTGTGTGAGTTCAAATTAATGGTATTTATTCTAGTTTATGACAGCCCTGATTTATATTACGTGGTTGAAATAAGGTACTTCTTATTATTTACGTCAAACCAAATAACAGTCGGGCGACTGACACTATGCACTCCATAAATTTCCTATATCTAATTACAGCCCCATTAATTTCCACTAAAAGAAAATAAAAAGCTTATAAATTTAAACAAAAATAGCTGCATTACTATTTCTATAGTCACATTCATACAAATAAAAAATGTAAAATATGCTTATGTTTTGATTTTTAATTTAACACTGTTAGGTTTAAAACTGTGAGGTAATATTTGAAATATACTTTCCTCTAATTACGAAGAATTTTTCGCCGACCATATTTGTAGTTAAGACTACTAGAAATCTTATTTACGAAGTAAAAACGCGGAAAGGCTGGAATTAGGGGCGTGGCTGGTATTAGGGGCATCCAACCTACCCGGGGTTTTTCGTGTCCCACAACTCGGGGAGAGACTGAAAATTTAAAATAAAATCTTTTTCTGGCTGAAACACATTTGGTGGGAGTGGCGACGGGCTGCGCGAGCGCGTAGAAGCAGCCTCTTCAATATATTCTGCGTCCGCCTCCATTGCTGTCTAAGCGTTGACTGATGCGTGATTGACGAAATGCCATTACACGTTCAATCAAAATTCGTGACTGATAGTTGATTGACGTAAAAATCAAAATATCCAGATATTTGTCAATCAATTTCATGCAACCGTCAATCACCGCATTACACGATAGGTTATTCGTCAATCACAACCGTGATTGTTGTAAAACTGACAGCAAAACCTACCGTGTAATGGGCGTCTTACGAAAGTGTCAGCGAAATCCCCGCGGCCCTTTGATACCGGCAGCTACCTGCTAAACGAACCTAGCCTAGACACGCAGCTATTGCGATGTGCCCTATCTAACCTACATACATACGTGTGTACTTTGATGCACTGGTTTGTTATACACTTGTATTCAGTCTGAGTAAAAGTGTTTGTTTTGTCGCATAACTAAACTATGAATACGTATAGGTACGTTGCGGCGAACAGAAAAAATACGTTCGCCTATATCACAACCTATACGTTGTAAATTGTGTTTAGATTGATATTTTTTTAACACAGTGTTATGCAAAATGACGACATTTGAATTATTAATTTTTCTGTTTTTTTTTTCTATGTTCCAGAACTGATTTTTTTCATTAGTACTTACTGCAACACATTGAACTATTATGTACTAACATAATATCTCAATGCTGCAACATAGAGAAATCCTTCGTGCAACATATTTTTATTAAGGTAAATAAGTTTAGTTCGAAGTCGTCTGCCGTAATCGTAAAATTTCTAGACGCATTTTAATTTACGCATTACGCAACCATTTCGTATTCACCTAGGTACAAATCTACATAAAATTTTTACGAGCCGGGTACTGACAATAATTATGTATTTAGAAATATTGCAACATTTTTTTAAGTTGACTACTAAAGTCTATTTTCGTATAGACTCACTGGTCTAATTAAATATATTGTTTGTTTGCATTGGCACTAGCGAAAAAAAAAAACGTTCTTACTGATGGTATTATTCTAGCTATTTGGGTTTTCGAGTCTGGCTGTGGTGTTCATGTTCCCGTGTCACTGACTAAGGTACTCTGTGCCTCTGTCTGTCTCCGACACCATAGCAAGTGAACCGAATTACCGTATATTAACCAAGTTTCGTCCGTGAGGGCTCCCGGTTCGTAAAACACCTTGTATTTCCAAGAAATAAAAAGTGCAAGAATAAGATTGAAGATTGTAGAGTAAAAGATAAACTTACAAAAATGGTTATAAGCTAGCAATGGTAAAAAATTTCATATGGAAATAAGTTTGTATTTGGGTTTTTTTTTGGGTTACTTTGTAGTAGGGAAATCTTGCTAACGCTATTGAAAAATAAACTAGATAAATGTTTGTGTGCAAAATGCTGGTATTCTATAAAGAAAGTTACTAACGAATAATTTCATATTCTTGTGACGGTGTCAAGTTAGGACGAACTATTGGATGTGTGTATTTTCTTTTATTGGATAAGATCTTTCACACAAAACTACTAAATGGATTTTAATGAAACTTATATATAACTTACAATAATATAGCTCATACATCAGAATAACACATACGCTATATTCATAAAAATATTGTGTAAATTGGCCAAAATATAACGATAAATGTTAAGTAAAGGTGGCTACTGACCTGCCTGCCGCAGGGTCAATCTAGGGTGTAGGAGTGGGGATGACCCGTAATTGCCTCCTTAATTTTGATGTGTGTAGGCAAGCAGGGGCAATTTTTTAAGTTAGCCCTGCGGCCTCCGATATTGCTCCGATCGCTGTGCTCCCTAGGTCAGTAGCCGCCTTTAGTCTGAAAAAATGTTGTCATCTGCGAGCTATTGTGGACCGATTTGGCTGGAACTTTCACTTGCAGATAGCTGATGTTATAAGGGGTAACTTGGCTACTTTTATTTTAGAGTTACGCGCAAAAAAATTCCACGCGGGTGAAGACGCGGGGAGCAGCTAGTACTATATAGCAGCAGCATAGCTCTACTACGTTAAAGAAATGTATAGTGTTCTTTTACGTCTTGTTTCAAAAGCTATTTCTTTAATAAAACTTAAATGACAAACGACCTTACGGTCCACCGGATGATAAGTTGCTACTATAGTCCATGAACAAGTGCAGCTAACAAAATCCACTAATGAGCTATCATCCCTGAGGATTAATAAGGAATGTCTCAAAGCCTGCACTATCTAAAGACTAACGTAATAAAATACTAGCTCTCTAAAGGGGTCCGGTTTAAAGTGGGATAGGGTAAACCTATGCCCTTTAAAGCGGGACGTAGTTTTTTTATAGGATGGGGTGACAAACGAGCACACAGTCCACCTGACCCATAGACATCTACATCTATCCTCAATAACGAATCAAAATGCGTCGTCATCCGTGAAGACTAACATAGAATACCTCTTTTCCAGTAAAAAGGGTCTTCGGTTCTCTACACTCACCATACGAAACACAGCAGCATTAAGCTGCTATATTACACTGCTATTCTGTGAGAGCGTGGTCCTACCCCGGTCGAGCCGACCCATTCGTGCTACAACTATATCTGCAGCGTGGCTCTACCACGTTTAAAAGAAAAGGGAGGTATCTATCCAAACGGACTCCTAGGCACACAAGGCGCATCCAGCGCAGAGCGGTTCGAATCATCGACGACCGAGTTCTTACTGATCGGCTCGATACACTGGCACTGCGTAGAGATGTTGCATCTCTTTGCGTATTTTATCGC